GACAGCCAAGACTCAGGATGCGAACATTTACGACTGAATCAATGATATCAGCAAGTGCCACTCTGACTGAAATTCCCAAGGTAGCCATCTGTGAAATGCAACTATCTCATTTCCTTCCAAAATATCAAATCTGAACACAGAGGCTTCAACACATATCCACGGCACTGAGTTCGAAATTTTTTCGATAGGAGAGGACTGTTTTGCTTAAGGGCAAAGGGTATTTTTTGAGTTTCTATGGTAAGCAGTTAAAAAAATCTTTGATTATTTAGGAATTAACATTTTTTCCCAAAATCCATCAATAACTCAACAGTCACAAAGCAGGGTAATTATATTCATTAATGTATTAGTTATTTTCAGAAACAACGACGATTTATCTCATGTTTCCTGGAAAAAACATCTGTTTTTTTTTTGTGCTTGGACTTGATGCTTACTCAGAAAGTTTTCTTCGTTTCACTTGAAAATTTTTCGCCTTTAGTGCAGCATGCTGCAAATAAACTAACTAATGTCATTGTCCTGACGACAGTAACTGTATGCCAGCGATCATCGTCGTAACGACCGGCTGGGTATTCACTGAACATCCTAATAAGACGCTTTTCGGTACCATCAAATTTCGATGTTGCAATAATGGCACCGTCGTCCAACGTGATATGTATGTAATTCTAAATGAACATAAACTGCAAAGCAAAAAATTTTCAAAAAACGGAACTATTTCGGACTGTGAGCCTGGAAAGCAAAATCATTGTAAGGATGAGCTGATCCAAAAAAGAACTTTTCAAAACGAACAAAGAAAAAAGAATTCTTTTGCACTGTTCTTACATTAGTTTTGTTAAATTGTTAATGAAACACAGTACTGAAAGAGTATCATCATAGCTTGATTTTAAACAAAACTCGAAAGATGGAGTCACCCGTGAGCCTGTCAGTGGGACTTTCCGTTGGCGCCACGCTAGCACCCCAATAACTTCCGATGCCTCTACCTCGCACAGAGAGTAAAATGTGAAAAAAGGTTCCAGCTTTTTTTGGCTCTGAAGTATGCAGGCAGTGGCTTATATGTAGTCAACAGTTTTTATAAAGAAAATTATTTTAGAGAATTTTAAAGAGGAAGCAACGACGAAACGGATTATTAAAGAACTTTGCCTGTGAAATATGAGAAAAATCAACGATTTTTTTTTTTTCACATTTTCGGCAAAGAAGTTAAAAACCTAAAATACGCCAGATTGAAAAAAAAAAAGACTAATTAAACCTACCTCGTTGAAGTGGCTACTTTTTGAAGGGGACACTTAGCTAGAAACAACCGTCATCGCTCGTGAAACATAAAAAAAAGTGTTGCATTTTATGAGTACTGTTGTTCTCTAACTAGTAAAAAAGGAAAATAAGTCGACGCACTTAAAAAAAAAACTGTGGTCGTTTAAGTTTTTTGCTATGGCAGTAGCAGTTGGCCGGGCAGATGCTTATTTCAAAAATCCATGGTATACTGACTGGTGGCAAAGCAAAGGAAAAAAAAACTATCAGTGAAGGAC